TGCTTCAGCTTTGTGCCTGTGATATGTACTTCTAGATACATAATCTTGACAGTGGTGACAAAATAATCTTATTTCTGCATTGGTCAGCACTGACGCCATGTTATGGTAATAATATAAATAAGACCACGCCTTCCTAACTTGCTCACGGCCGCCACGCCTATATGGGTGTAGCTCGCCGGGAAAATTGGCGGGTTCGTAGCGTAGCAAGACGGACAATCCGTCTACATCTTCGTCTAGAAAGCAGCGACGGAATTCCCTGTGCCACGTCAAGGCCAGTACAATTTCCTGTGATACCTATCAATCATGTTGGATGGCTCTGTTCTGTCCAAATATTTTTGTATACGTGGTAGCCACACACACAACTTTCTGTAGATTTGTTTACAACTCCAGGTGTTGCCATCTTTGATCATTAATTTATTATTAATATGAAATTATTAATTATTTTTAATTAACATAAAATTTTAGTAATTAATGGAGCCTTACGAAAATTAAATTTGACGAAAAAAGGAACAACTAATATTTAATGCTACTAAAAAAACCAGCTATACGGTATTTCAAACTGATAAATGGTTTGGATCCAAGAATATTGTATTTGTAGGTGACCTCTTACAGTTGCCACCAGTTAATGGTAGGCCCGTATTTTCTAAAATTATCAACGAACTAGTAAAAACTAGACTTGGAGCAGCAAATGCAGTTAACATATGGAAAGAAAAGGAGAATATTATAAACTAACTATCAATGAGCAACAAAATTACATAAAACTTTCTTTAAGATGCTTGATTCCGTTAGGCATTGCTGTTTGACTCATGAAACTATTGAGAAGTTTAAAGAGTTGTGCATTTAAGGTTTGAATACAAGAAAAATATAAGGACTTGCAAAGTGATAGAATTCATTCAATTTGCCTATTTTCTAAGGTAGATGCCTACCAAAAACTCAATGAATTAATGTTAGAAAGTCTAGAAAAGGAGAATATAGAATTAGCATGTGTTGATGTTGTTGATGAATGTGGCAGCACAGCAAAATTTGACAAGAAACAAGAAAAAAATTAGAAATACTGAAATATTAACCAAGAGAAACAGTTGGTTTAGAAACTGTATTGTCCTTAGCAGTAGGCTGTAGAGTAATGCTAAGACGTACCATATAGCGGCTTTTTTTCGAGGATAATAACTTTCACAAATGACCAGTATCTGGAAGTTTGGGTATTAATTTTGCAAATTTCGACAAATCTGCCATCTTGTACCAAATTAAATTGATTTGCAAGGAATTTAATTTTGCAAGTCAAAAAAATCTGCAATTTCGCAACATTTGATATCCTTGAAAGAACCCAATTTACCTTAATATTGATGTGACTGTAAGATTAGTTAATGTATATATTACAATTACTATTACCAGACAATTTTTGATATTACTATTACATTACTTCACTAAACTAAAGTAGTTATATTATATTACTATTATTTGACATTTATTACTATCACTAATGCTTCATTATAGTACTTGGATTATTATAACTATTACTTTTGCATGAAGGTGCATCAATGAAACCTTTTAATTTAGAGTTAAAGTTTTAGAAAATATGCATTACCCTTTATATTCATTAGTTTTTCACAATTTCGGTCTGTAAGCCTACATTTTTTGGCCTCATCCTATGCTAAAAAGGCCTTTAACTGCATCACTTGAAGCTGGAATAGCCAGGTAATGACAAGCTATTATTCAAAGTTTTGGTATGTAGTCTCACTTTCTTTCCAAAATTGCAAAGGATCATCAGCTTATTTTAAACTTGCATTTCATAGGTCCATATATGTTGGCAATTCAGGAGTTCTATTTTCTGCATTGCCTGGGTTTGGTTCATCAAAAAGAAACTCTAAAAGTTTACCTGGCCATTTTACTTGGTGGTTCCTCAGTTTGTTGTTGTCCTATTTCAGACTGTGTTAGTCATCGTTCTTCTATGCAGAATGTGTCCTAGTTGAAGTAATATTTCCTTAGATTTCTTCCTTATTTCATCTTAAAACGGAAATCTAAAACACTAGCCATTATAAATGCTCCCTGTCTTCAAACTTAGACATTAACTTGCTCAAAAAACCTCATAGTGCTGCAACCATCCTTAAATGTAACTGATAACTCGTTCAATGACTGACAAAGTCCTCTTTTGCATGGTATAACAAAACTGTGACTACATTTTTACCTTGGATTAAACTTTTGGTTTCTAGAAATGGAGATAATAGAGCAACCATATCTTGCAGAATACTCTTGTCATGTATAGTTATTTGAGAAAGATCTATTAACCTAAGCTTGTCATTAGGAACTTTAAGACTTGACTTCATTCTTATTACTTCACCGTTCCATCTTGTTGCCTTACTACTTTGCAGCTTATCTCTCCTTCCAAAATGTCAGTAGCTGTTTGAGATTTTTGAAAATGCGAGATGATTGCAGCTACATTAGCTAATACTTTCTTGACTGGACCCATTTCTTTCATACCATTGTTTACTACCAATTGGAGGGTATGAGCGAAGCAAATGTCATGTTCTTGCATCAGAAATGTATCAGTCACAAACTCCCTTACTTCATCTTCATCATCAGAAGCACTTGTTTCATCTACATCTTCGGCATCGTCATCAGATTCAGACTCAGAAAAATATGCATCTTCAAATCCAGGCAAA